GTCATCATCGAGTTGACCTATTTTCGTGTATCAGGATGAGGCAGGTTATGATTGGTTGTTCATCATCACATGATGTTAGCTGACAGTATAACATTCCATGGCAGCCAATGACGGGCGGGCCACATCCAACAGACTTCGTGATTGTTWTCTGTTCCATGTCTGCCCATAAATAAATGACTTTATAAACATATCCGCAAGACCATTTTGTCTTTTTAACACCCTTTCGCCGTGTTTTCTGCCCATCTTCCCACRACACTATCTATCTATCTATTGGCTGTACCTCTATGAATACATTTTTGAAAATCCTATTTAAAGTGACCACAGCCATTTAATCAGTCAGTTTTACTGATATTTTGCCAAATTTTGTTGTGGTAGTAGCTGAGAGTCATCCCCAACATGAACATAAAAAAACAGAACAGATCTCACCAGATGTTTGTTGCATTGCACCAGATGCATTCAGTCAAGATAATCTAGTTTTTTCTTGTTTTGTTGCTCTTCATTATTTATATTGTTATTAAAACACTTCCAGCATGGATGTTTGTTYGAGTTGATATTATTTAAAATGCTACAGAATACATGATGAAACATATGAGCTTAGATACAATTTTTTAAAAATTGTCTTTTTCTACACATAAATGAATAAACATGATGAGAGCGGTTACCTGCTTATCTCCATCTGTTTGTGTGTTAAGCTGCTGTCTGTGCTGAGGTTCAGGTTTCCAATCCCCCCCCCACCCCCCACCCCCAACGCCTGCCTGCACAAGCACAAGGCCGACTGTGCCCCAGTCACACGCCCTCCTCTTTCTCTGCTGCTGGGAGCCGCAGCGACACACGGCTTCCCACGCTTGTGTATGCAGCCTGCAGCCGCTCGCACAAAAGACGTGCGTCTGCTCCTTCAGAGCTGAGGAGCCGTTCTCAGGCWGGGAGAGGAGGACAGGAGGCCACTTCACCCAGAAACCATCTGCTTTGGCTCCAGCTCAGCCTCACAGTGGGAAAACAGAAGAAATACTACCCAGTCATGTATTTTTTAGGGGTTGTGTAGTTTTAAACATTTTCCACTCACAAAAAAAGTGAAAGCAACATTCAGAGGATTTTACTACTTAAAGATAATTTTATTCAGTTCATGCTGCAGATGCTCAGACTTGTTTCCTCACTTTTAATGTTGTGTTTTTTTTTATATTAAGCTGTTTTTATATTTCAATGATAATAATTTCAATCTGTTTCATTTAAAGGTCAGTGTCAAGATTTAAGGATCCCTAAAGGAAACCTAATTTTCCCGTGTCCACCTCGTGGCAAACACTTTCCCACTGACCTTTCTGATGAGTGGTCCACAGATAAAGCATCCCACCTGTTCTCCCTGACAGCCATTAAATCCAGTCTATTGTCTGGAGCTGTGAGGCTCCTGATTGGCCGAGCAGCAGAGGAGAGCGCAGGATCTGCAGCATAAATATGGAGCAGAGAGGCAGAGGAGRACAACAGAGCATCATCTGAACCACCTCACAACTCTCCACCAGAAGAAAGCATCCTCAGAAATGGCTCTGTACKCAGATCTCAGCTTCCAGGACACCATGAAGGAGGAGCTCTTCAGGTGAGACAAGATTGAGACAATTAAATGTGTTTTTTTATATGAGTGAATGAATATGTGAGTAAAACTTGTGATTTTTTTGCTTCTCTCAGGTGCAAGCTCCACATGCTGGAGAGGAAATGTTGCACAGGAGTGGAGAAGCTGAAGGCTCTCATCGAGGCGCACCTGCAGAACGGCTTCCCCGTCGCAGACATCCTGGAGAAGACGAAGTCCTTCCTCACCTTGAGGAAAGCCCTGCTGTCTCACTCCGGCTACTCCAAATATTCACGGGACATTTTACGTCTGTTTCCTGRCGCAGAAGAAGACGTGGCTCCGCTTTGCTTTTAACAACAACAAAAAAGCACAAAGACTGGATTCGATCTCCTTCATGGATGAAAAACCTGCAGATTTTGGAGAAATGCATTGTTTGCATTTTCACCAGGAGATGCTGAAAAGGACGTTTTAGGCGTTTTATAGAAAATCTGTTTTAAAGGTTTAACTTTTTTTAGCCACTATTGTGATTTTATTTTAGTCGTCACAGTTGCCAGAGTGAGATTGTTGCATTTAGAGTCACAGGAAAGTGACATGTTGTGTTCATGTGCTGCTATTTGGAGGATTTATGATTCTAGGAGTTGACTAAAGAGACACCCCATCTCTTATCTATGCAATCCTTTTTATTATTATTATTTGTCTGTATGGCAACATCTTAGTGAACTTTAACTTGAACAAACTGCCAAATGGTGCCCTTTCTACTCAGATTCCTGTGAAAAAAACTGAAAAGCCTAACAATGTGTGAGCACTGCATTTAGATTTCACTGCCTTGTTTCAAGGTACTGAGTGTTAAATCATTTTTTTTTTAATTTTTAAAAACAACCTTTCTTCTGAAAGGAGATTCATTATTTTTTTGTGTATGCTGTGTATGCATATTTTGTTAAGTTTTGTTTTTATTCATCCAAAGTGGATTTTAAGTTGTTTTTTGTGTGTTGTTGCATATTTCAAAAAGAGAATAAATGTCTGAGTGTTTTATGTGACGTGTTTGAACTCAATCTCTGAGAAAGTTCTTTAATTCAAGCTCATAAAAAATAACATTTTTTAAAACTGAACAATTAAAAACACTTGGTTCTTAAAGATGTGTGTCGCCCAACACCAAGTGGGTCTTTAGATAATCTCAGCTTGCATTAAAAATACATTATTTATGTTTTTTCCTATAATTTAAAAGTATAACCTGGGAAATTAGTTTCCTCTCAGGACACTATTTTTAATTAATAATTTTGTAAGCTCACTCAGGTAAAGTCACCATTTATTGTGACTTATTTATTGTTTCATTGCTGMTAAATTGCATTTTTTTTAGTTTTTAAAGTTAACTAAATGGATTTAAATTTGAACTTTTTAATAGTTTAAATCAGAAAAAGTCTTATGTGTTGTCAGAGCAGGGCAACCTNTTTTATGACATTTGCTTTTCCTTTAGGACAAGTTTCAGTCACTAAAACCTTTTGAGTCTCAAAGGCAGCCAGTGGGATGTTTTCCCGCCAGATGGTTGGTGATGTAATGGTTTGTTTCCTGAGCTAGCACCTGTCGCAGACGTCCTGCTTCACTGATCGCAGTGTGGGAAAGTCAGATCATCACGGGACTCACAGCGACAACAAGGCACGTGTCAAGGATAGTAATTATGCTGCTGTACATGCTGACAGCGTGGACACGTGCCAAGACTCAACAACATGTTTGTTTCCAGGAGTTCTTTCTGGGAAATTAGCAGTTTTACTTTATAATTTCTTCACAAAAATTCACAACCTTGAGATAATTTTTTTTCTTCCGTACATTTTTTGGCACATCTGTCTTTCCGTAATTTTTGTTCTATTTTAACAATTCATACATCAAAACGTTCAGCTCCTTCAGAACATTCAGGATGTGACTATTTCAGCTACTTTTTCGGCCACATTTTTCCTATTCAAGATGATAGGAGCTGTTTTCAACATCCTTAAAATCCTTCAAAATGTTTCTAAATCTTTACAGCAACTTACACTTTTTGTTCTGGTTCAGCTCTTTTTAACTTCCTTGTGTTAATTTTAGCTACGGTTTTTGCTAATTTTAGCTTTTTTTTCCTGCTATTTCAGCTATAAGTCTGCTTCTATCTGATATTATTCTGATATTTTCTACTTTTTTGTCCATCGTTCTGCTAATTTGAGCTTTTTCTGCTTCTTAAAGTAAAATTCTGCTTTTTTCAGCTATTTGAAGCAATTTTGCTAATATTTAGCTTTTATTAGCTAAAGTTAGCTTTTTAGGCAAGATGCACATTTTGGTGGCTATTTCAGCATTTTTCTGCGAAGTTCAGCAGACTTGTGCTCTTTATGCTAATTCAAGATTTTATAGCCACATTTTAGCTGTTTTACAGCACATTTAGGCTGTTTTAGCTATTTAACAACATAGTTTTTCCTACTAATTTGACATTTTTACATCTTTTTATCTGGGTGAAAATTTCAACTAGTGTCTGTCATGTTTAAGCTTGTTTTTATGCTATTTTTAGCTTTTTGTCTGCTATTTCAACTATTATTCTTATTATTTTGTGCTTCTTTCAAATTTTCTAACGGAGCTGGCTTTAACATTTTCCTACAAAAGACTTCRGCAGCTTTCAGCTGAAGTTTTCAGCAATAAGCATTTATTTTGCAGGAAATGCAATTTCTCTGTAGTTATTATATTTATTATATTTTTTAACATGTACACAATCAATCCTAATTCTGTTCATTTATATTTATTAAGCAAAAGCAAAACATAAAAACCAACAACAAAATAATCCATGCCATGTTCAGCCCAAGTGATTCAGACATAAGAAGATGTTTTCCACATGAAACGTGTGCTGGGATAATAAACGCTTCCTAATTCAGAGAATCTGATCTCAGCCCTAAACAGCAGATCAGCTTTCAGGGTCACCACTTTCCCACATCGACACAGAGCTCTTTGAGTCGCTTCCACCTGCTCCTCTGAAATCTAACCATTATCCTCCAGGCATTAACGGCAGCATGTTGCTGCTCCACATGCCCCATTGTCTCACAGAGCTCTCCGATTGGTTCAGACTGTGGGAAACCTCAACCGGAGCAGGACTCACACACTGACACGAGGATGTGCGACTATAAATAGGAGGGAAGACGGCCGCAGGCATCAGATTCTCTCTTCAGAGACCTCTACAGCACACAGACCAAAACATGGCTCCTACAATCACTGCAGCGTGGACAAACTCTCACGATCACCTGGCTCTGAACCACAAGGTAAATATGACGTTTCTGCAAAAATCTTCATAATTTAGGGGAGTTTTTYTATTTGATGATGGAGCCACGATGCAGAACAAGAGTTTTAATGGTTCTGTTGTTTTCTGCAGCTCAGGAAGCCTCTGGTGGAGAAGCTACGCAGAGAGAGGATCAACAGCAGCATCGAGCAGCTCAAGTCTCTCCTGGGTCCAGAGTTCCTCAAACAGCAGCCAGACTCCAAGCTGGAGAAAGCAGACATCCTGGAGATGACAGTCTGCTTCCTGAAGGAGCTGCTGCAGCAGCACCAGCAGCAGAGGAGGCTGCTGGAGCACCTCGACGAGCTGCAGACGTCCTCTGAACAGAAGCTGAGAGAGGCTGGCTCCTCTCCTCTGAGCCCAGCGGTCCAGACCAGCATCACCAAAGACCAGAATCCAGAGAAAACTCTGTGGAGRCCCTGGTGACTGGACTGACTTCCACTCCGACTGAAAAGATCATATTGGTCTGAAGAAACTGAACTGTTTATCTTTTTTACCCCCTACGTTTTATTTTCTGAACTTATGATGTTTGTTTGTACAGAAACAGTTTTTTTTTCTTTTTCAAAAGATACGTTTCCAGGAAATGATTATTTGAGTTATTGATGCATGCTGCATGACACTTGTTTGCATTGGCAAATATTGTTTCTTCCTGTACATCAACTTTTGTTGAGGTAACTTTTATTATTGATCTATGTGATCAGAAAACATTCTGTTTTTCACAAAAAACAGTGTTTTATTGGACGTTTAATCTGTTTTGATTGCAACAAACTGATCTGTTCTAAGATCAACAAGTTTCTCCTTTCATTCTGAAAGGTGCGAGTCAAACTGGTTGGTTTTATTTCATCCTYGATCAGTTTTGATCCAAAATGTTCATTTATTTTGGACATTTTTTTAAAAGAATCACTTTATGGGATTTGTAAAAGATGATCTGTTTAAAGATCTGCATGTTTATTAAAATGTTTGTCAGTTTTAATCTGACAAAAGTTACACAAGTTAATCTCTAAATGWATTTAGAGTTTGGAAAGAATTATTTGATCTGTTCCAAGGTCAGTCAGAAGATTTGTTTTTGTTGTTCAAAAGGTGTAAATTTTATTTTTACACGTGTTGAAATAAATGTCAAAGGAAGTACTGTTTCAGGTACTGTCAGCTGTTTGTCTTTTATAAAGACCAAGTTATTCCAGTGTATCTGAGTACACTGTATCTTGTAAAAAAACTACAAGTTGTTTGATGAATCATCACCATGATCTGATTGTGTTTGTCTGTTTGAAAATAAACACAAAACATAAAAATAATTGTGTTTGTGATCATTGTCTGTTTCTCTAATATAAACCTCAGATATCTGCCATGTTTATGCTTTATTCAGTCGATATTCTTGTCTGTTTTTACGTTTGATTAGCAAAAAAAAAAAGACAATTTGTTTGCAAAACGTGCTCCATATTAATGAAGTAACCCTGTTGATGAACGGGGGTTATTATGCCTCCTATTGTCCCTGCAGTGACAGGACGGAGTGTGGGAAACTAAAATAAAGTCCCTCACAGAGCCGCTGAGGGACAATAGATCTGGACCTTTTGGCCCTGAGGGGACGCAGGTTAAAGGGGAAACTTGTTTCAAAGGATGTAGCTGGTTGAAACTGGTCCACTTTCACCATCACCACAAACGCTTATATGGATTTGTTCAAAACTGTTTGCTTTACAGGAAGACCATATATATATATACAGTATATATATGCATAATTAAATTAGGGTTTAACAAGAAAAAAATACACCGAGGTAAGCTTGTGAATAAACTGCACCACACAGATAATATTTCAGACCCTGATCATTTTTTCTTTTGTTTTTTTTTTTCCTGTCATATGTTCTGTCAATCTGTACATGGGTTCTCAAACTTTTCCATGCAAAGTCACCCCAAACTTCATTAGGGTTCCACCCCTGGCAAACCCTCAAACTTTTTGAGACTGAGAGCTACTTTTGGGGTACAGAGTAACATGTAGAGCTACTTCGATTCAAACATAAATTAGCCCGGCTCACCTTTAATTATAGTTTTATTAATAATAATATATTTATACATGTGAATATTTGACTCCCTGATTGTAATCAGGGAGTCAAATATTC